AATTTATCCTAGACTCCAACTAGTTGATTACAATAATCGACCCGCTGTACCGGTCTAATTTATTCTATGTTTTAGGATATGCCCACTGATCTTCTTCAAACTCCACTCGAAGAAGACTTACTCGATTTCGAAAACCTTCTGTCTCTTAATGACCCTATGGAAATGCCATCCAAAACAATCAACCCGATTAATCAACCAAAATTGAATACCAACTTTAAAATTCCAAAAGTGAAAAATTCTAATTGCATTCAAAAGAGAAAAGCAATTGTCCGACCTTTCAAAATTCTCCCCTCTTCTTCAACTAGGAAAAACCTAGAATCTGAAACTGTAATAGTTCACCAATCCGCAAACTCTCTAGAACTTGAATCAAAAATTGCGATTCAAGTCAAAAAGGAACAAAACCTCAGCCCTAGGAAACCACCAAATTTTGACACCAGTCTAAATTATGCGCTCTCTCCCTTTATTAACCGATTTAAGATAGACACCTATCACCCTTACCAAAACGGTAACGGTGCATACCGTCTGGTTAATCCACAACTCCCCCATCAACATATTTGTGTTCCTGCAGCCTTTATAACTGCCCAAATGCAGACTCCAATCCTTGACTCCTACACGGATCAAGTGCAAAAGAATTACATAAACGACTTAAATCGCATCAATCAAATGCAGAAAACCATAACAGTGCTCCGGGAAAAAAATAAGGACCTCAGCAATAAATATCTGAGCCTAAAAACCCAGGTGGAAGGAAACTATTAGTTTCAAGACTATCTATTAACCTCCTTTCTTTTTATTTTTTAACTCCAACTGTGATTTGGCCGCCGCCACTTTACAAAGTATGTATGCTTCTACAATTATAGTCCAGTATTGCTGATAAGTATATTCGCTAAACCAAATTTGAAAAATTGTATTTGATGTTATATTTCTCAAAAGTATCCAGCTGTGATTTGGCCGCCGCCACTGCTCTACTCTACATGCACATAGACTACACGCAGCCATTCTTCAACCAACTACAAGCAGCCATTCTTCAACCAACTACAAGCAGCCATTCTTCAACCGACTACAAGCAGCCATTCATCAACCGACTACACTACAAGCCGCCACTTTACGAACAAACTACCAAAATCAGAATAAAAACTTTACGCAAACTTTATTAAAACTTTTTGATGTTTTGTAAATTATATTATGCTTTTAAATTTTTTGTCAACGGGTATCACCGTTTAACAATCACCCTATAAGATGGTTGGATGTTCTGAATTGAAATCAGAAACACAATTATTAAAACTTTTACCATATGTTCTGACTTGAAATCAGAAACATAATTCTTAAACTTTTACCACATGTTCTGACTTGAAATGATGTGTTTGCTCGGTTGATAAAATATCACCAAAAGCAAACATTACAGCATGTGTTGTTTCTTTCTGATTGGTTTAACCAACAGATGGAATGTTGAAAATATCAAAATCTATGGTATATAAGGCAAGCGAAAATATACCAAATATCACTTCATCACTTCATCACTTTCTCAAATCTCATAACCACTCTCATACTGAGACCCCCAACCATCCTAATAACCAAAATCTCAAATCTCTATCTCGATAACTATAAATCCATACCCCAATGTCTCTTGATATAAAATTGATGTGTGTCCTCTATGTTTGAAATAATATACTTATTTACGAGTGAAAGAAATTTTGTCTGTTGAATAAGAATAGGAAAGTCTTAGCAACATTCAGAAAGACCCCTTGTTCTAACTAACTGCGATTTGGTCGATCGCATAAGTTAAGTCAAGTTAGTTTGGAATATTGCTTACAAAAACCGCTGGGCTGCCTGTGCCGATAGTAGTTTTAAAGAATGACGTTGACTCTGATTGTGGCTTGTAGTGATGTTACTTGCTTCCAGCTTCTTGAAAATATTGGTCGGAAGCGTTCCGGATTCAAATCCATTCGGATTTTTGAGCTGGCTGTTTTCTCGTTGGCTTGAAATGCTTAAATTTGAGTATTCGGTTTTGGCATCTGATGTGATAAAATTGCAATCCCCTTTGATTATAACTTCAGATTATTTATCCATATTATCATTGTTTTTCGGGATTCGCAAACTTTTGAAAAATATGCCTTTCTTCCAAACGGTTCACAAATAACGTTTCTGGCTTGGCATGATTGGCGAATACTGATTGAGTAGTTTTGCCGCAGAAGCATCGTGGTTTAGGATCTCTGTTCTTTTTTTCGAATAATCGAATCTTTTGCTTTTTTGGATTCTTGAGATACAGTTTAGCATATTGCTTTCCCCTAAACTGTCAGTTCTTGTTTAATTTTGATGTGAGAACTAGTTTTGTTGAGATGCTAAACCCTGTCCTATTTGCCATGAGGGGTCGACGCGGTGGTACATCTCTTCTCCTATAGAAGAGTTTTCTCAAGAGTTTTGCCGAGGTGAACACATAACTCACGTTGAATATCTTTGAATCGCTTTTGCTCAACAAAAGAGTCATAGAGATGCATACCTT